TTGGAGAATGGATAAAAAATGATCTGGAGACAAATCTGAGGTAGAAGAGAATGTGTTATTAATTAACTTGTGTTTCTCTCCTGTACTCATGTTGACCCAGTTAAGTGGCTAGCTGCACCTCTGAAGGGACCTGGAAATGAATCACTTGTTTGAAAACATTTCTTGCTTCAGAAAGCACTTCATTGTACTAAACACAGTTTTCTCCATTTTGATGCTGACTTGCAGATGTTTACTGTGTAAGGGAGTAAATCAAGTCTCATGGCTTCCTCCACTGGTTGTTGTGTCAAGGCAGTAAGCTGAATACTTCCAGTGAATTTGAAGAGGCTATTTTAAGTCTGTTTTGGCTAAACCCTTGCTGGGATTTGTGTAATTTGAATTCTGTTGTGGGAGCCTGTGTCTCTCATTTTGAAAATCACGTGACACTGAAGGCACAAAGTGGTGACTAGTGGTATCATGCTCTATTGTTTTAAAAACTGAAGGTTTCAGTTCGATGTAATTCAACAAAGGAGAAGGATTTAGGCTAGTAAGAGTGAAGATGAGACTGTGAGTAGAATAGTGATATCTTTAAGGAATATTCAGGCCTTGCATTTCCATCTGCTCTGAGCAACAGCAAGGGAACAAAACTACATCAGTTGCTGAGCTATAAAACACACAGACCTTTTCGGCTCTGCTGGGTTACAGAAAGCAATAATTTCCCATTTTCTACACACCATGGAAGTCAATGCCTGATCCCAGTCATGTCACCACGAGACGTGTCAAAGCCCTCAGGATCAAAGAGATTGAAGTAGCACAGGATCTCAAGATATTATTTTCTGATTGAAAAACACAAATTAAAATTCCTGTAGAAATTTAGATAATGAGTTGCTATTAAAACTTTTTACAGGAAAAGTCAGTCCCAATGTAAATAAAAAAATCCCTTTTCTGTATGGTCCTTTAAAAGTGTTTCATCCCTGAATTTACCTGTGGCAGATTTTGTCATGCTACCTGTTTCAAAATCCTCAGCTCAAAGTTGTTTGACAGCAAGCTATTTGTGACGTGGCTCTTATCTCAGTCCCATCTCACAACTAACACAAGATGAGCTGACTTGCATGCTGCTTTTTTTTTTTTTTTTCTACAGGGGACAGGCTGTGGTGACAAGAAGTGGAGGTAAGACTTTGGGGGTAGCTCAGCTGGCTCCCTATAGAGGAAGAGGATAACTACACATCAGACCTCATCAGACCTACTGGGATTATTCCAACTCCTGCATTATTCCAGCTCTGGTCAGTAACTGGAAAGTTTCTAGAGAGTAAAAATACTTGCATCAACTCCTTTGGCATCATAGTGCTTCATACTGTGGGACAGGTGACCCAAAGGTTACATCACTGGTATAAATTACAGATACCTGGATCCATACTCCGAATTTTCATGGTACCATGAATTTTCTACCACTGACTTTTGTTTCTAACTTCACTGTCTCTTGTCATGGAAATCGTGTTTCAACATTCATCATGTTTAAGTAATTTCACCATTATGGAAAATGACAGCTAAGAAAGTAATCTTGTATTCTATGGGAGGTCAAGAAGCTGATGAAGGACTTTTGCCAGATTCCCTCATTCTATTAAAGAATGAATATACAACAAGTTACCTGAACAAATTTAATAAACTGGCACAATTACTAGCAGGCCCGACTGGCCAGTCTCTTTCACTGGGGACATTAGGCAGACTTGTTTTTCTGCTTGCTGAAAGCAGCTCATTTTGCCAGCACCTCACACTCTGGCACCCATCTTCAGAAAGAACCACACAAGTGGATCCCTGAACTTTAAAGAGGCAAATCACATGAACAGCCTGAAAGGAGTTCCCTGGAGGGACAGGGCCATTTTCTGAAGCAATTCCAAGCTGTGCCTCCTCTGGGTGAGGACTGACCACGTGCCTGGCTGGGTGTTCAGTGTTGGCAACTACAGCTCCTTGGAACTATGGCAGCATCAAGAATATCAATCACAGAATGTCTAAAGGGTAAATACATACTACAAATAATTTATGATTTATATCATCTTAAGTAGTGTGTCCTGCATGGAAACAGGTCCATGTCTTGATTGTCTTTCTTCTGCTGGAGACAGAATCGTACCCCAGTGAGAGTGAACAGGCCTTAGGCTAAATTAGCACAGCATGTTCTCAGGGTGCCTCCAAGAGAGCCCATCTCCAGGGCTGACCAGAGGGAAAGGCATTACTGGGAGCCTGGGGGGCACCAGCCTGCAGGTGACATCCAGCTCAGTGTGGATGAGGATGAGGAGAGTGACAGCAACAAAGGTCACAGCTAGCCCAAACACACCAGTAAGTATTTTCATTTGATTTTTGGGGGTGCAAAAAGGAATGACTAACCAAACTTCCCATTTGGAGAAGTGTGGATGTCACAGTTTAGATGTGAATGATTCTCAGGACAGCGCATTCCAAAACAATTTTACAACATCCAACAAATACGGAAACTAGTCTGCAAGTACACATTTAATCTCAGTTTAATAGTTAAATTAAAATGAAATAACATGCTAAATAACTCTGTATCTAGTTAACCAAACAATCAAACACCTAACTCCAATTAAGCACCAAGCATTAAGTATTCAGTAACTGGGAATAAAAGGTAGATATGCTGAACTAATAATGAGTCAAGTGCACAAAAGGCCAGAATGAAAAGAAATGTTAATTAAAACATAATGTCAAAGGGATAGAATGTTTTCTTGGGATAACAGTCTCCTGCTGCTAAATAAATACCAAGGTGAAGCCCAGGCATCCATCAAAACTGAATGCCAAGCCAAAGCCAGGATATTTTATGAAGAACGACATTTATCTGGAGCTCTCAAAAAGAGACATTACTCCTCATGAGAAAAGGATGCTCCTGTGCATTTATCCTTGGCTTGATAGATACTGCTGCTATCGATGGACCATTTTTCATTTTGGTATTATTGATTTAGCTGTACGATTGTATAAGAAATGCTTTTTGTATATATTCAAGCAGGATTAGCAGAGAACACTTGACTCGAAACTAGCTTATTTTTCTGGTGTGCCTGAGTTCAGGTGTTCTTGGGGAGACTCTAGTTCTGCTGCTCAGTTAGAGTCATATCCTTTTTCACCTTTGTCCTCCTCATCCTGCTGCGTCTCTTCACTTACTGGCACCCTCTTAGCTTCGCTTTACAACCAGAACCACTTCACTATCCAAAGACACCGCTGCCGTGGAATCACCTTGAGACCCTTCGACACAAAACCGCGGCGGCACCAGCTGATGCCAAAACGTCGGGGCTGCCCCCTTAGAGCGGCTGCGTTTCCCGGCACCGGGCGCTTCCCTTCTCCAGGTACCTCCCACTGTGATGACACCGGCCCCGCGTGTCCCCGCGTGTCCCCGCGTGTCCCCGCCGATCCGTTTGTGTCTCTGTGGGTCCCTGCGCAGCCTGGAACCATCATCCTGCCCCATCGGGGGGCGCTGGGGG